TTTTTATTGATTTTAGAGAGAGAATAGAGGACAGAAATATCAATCAGCTGCCTCCTACCCGCCCCCTACTGGGGATTGAGCTCAGAACCTGGTCATGTACCCTGACTGGGAATCAGACCAGTGACCTATTGGTTAATGGGTCTATGCTCAAACACTGAGCAACACTAGTTGGGCTGAGTTGTAAACTCTTGAGTTCCTTAATTAAAAACCATCTTTTTTAAAAAAACTTTTCAGAGAGGGAGGGAGAGAGATAGAAACATCAATGGTGAGAGAGAATCACTGATCAGCTGCCTCCTGCTCAAACCACATTGGGGATTGAGCCTACAACCTGGGCATGTGCTCTGATCTAAATCAAATCATGATTCATAGGTTGATCCTCAACCACTGAGTCATGCCAGCCGGGCCATCTTAATTATTTTAAAGCCCAAGATCTAGCATAGTACCTGGGAGTGTATGTTAAATATTCTCTTGATTTATTGCTTTAGTCACACCACAAAACCACAGTTTTTGTTCCTCTGCATTTACAATATTCAATCCCAAGGAAGTTTGTAAGGCCTAATTTTTTAGTTGAAAAAACTCCTTTCCTTTTATCTTAGTCAAGGGGAAGCATCTGTTCTTTATTAGAGTATTAAAACCTCTTTATTTAACTTAGCCAACATTTAATTAAATATAAAAGGATCTTAAATGCTTTATCTCAGATAGGAAGGATTCCCTGCAATAGCTGTGTCGTTATTATACATAGGTCACTATTTCCTTACCAGAAACTGGCTCACAGACATAGCGTAAGGCTGTCCCCAAAAGTAAAAGGGGATTGGCATAAATTTAAATGGGATACCTCTTGGCATGCTCTCATTCTCTGGAGAATGTCCATGCCTTTTCCTTATCCCTCTTCTTCCCCCCAGGCACATTACCTTTGTCTTTTTGCTAAACTCCAAGGGCCCTTCTACTGCCGTTGCAATGTTTCCTGAGCCTATGCAGCTCAGTTGGCTCACTTGTACTACCTCCGTAACTTTCTAAATGAATGTTCTTTCAATCCGAAAACATAAATAAATGTCTCCTTCAAATGGCTGCCTGCTCACTTGGACAACAGAAACCACAACTCAGGTACCTGGAGTCTGCCTTAGAACAGAGCTGTGTATAGGTTCCTTTTCCCATCCTCCTAATTTACTGCATTGTTTATTAGAAATTACCCATTCCAAGGAACAACACAGTGAAATTTCAGTGCATTCTCAGCCCATGCTGCTTTATTGCCAAAAAATATATATATATACACAGGTGCAGAGTTTCCAATTCTTAAAGCAGTTCCTTTTTACATAAAATCTTTAGAAAACAATAAAATCTTTTCTAAAATCCCAAAGATGCATAGATTAAAAAGCAAGCTGCTTTTGTAATACTTTAAACATTCAATGAAATTCTTTTAACATTATCGCCTATATCACTGGTACAGTGGGGAAGATGCAGAATAGCAAGTAAAAACAATGAGCAACAACTGTACTTAAAAGGACAGGTAGCACATAAAACCCTATGGAAAGGATACTCTAATGTGATTCTTAGTGATGGGTGATTTTAAGGTAAACGCCAAGATGATTGCTATTGTTTAAGGACTGATGATAATGTATTGCCGGAATATCTTTTGTCCCTGGGAGAAAAATATATTTGAATTGATGGCATGGCTGACCATCACCACAAGAGAAAAATCTTTTGGAAATTGTTAGTATCCCTAAAATATCTATTCTGACTTAAAAGGGAGGCTTAGGAGTATGGATTCCTGGAGAAATCTATGATTTTTTGTTTTTCTAATAACCTTTAATATGCCTTAGTGGAATAATGGGAACAGAGTTTAGAGAAACTGTCCTTAAATCTTCATTGGTTGATAGGCATGCCATTAATAAGTGGCAAAGAGAAACTTTACATATAAGATATGACATCTTACTTCCTATATTTGAGTGGAAAACAGACACTGTGATGACCATCCTCTAATTCCGTTGTATACTACTGAAAAGTTACCATTACATTTACACATTTCCAAAGGTATCTGGAGGGAAATCCCATAGCAAAGTGTCTATCTAGTCTAATCCTGTTTAGGCCTCTTTTAGATATAATTACTCCCATTTACATCATTGATCATAATCACTTGGACTTAAAAGGGTTATTCCAAAGTTAGGAATTATCTAAAAATTTTAAGCTACTATAATAAACAGAAAAGTAAAAACTTGCTCCTGTTTACTTGGCATCAAAAACTTTAGGCAGATTATGCAGCCTGATCAAAACATCAAGAATAAAACTCTGGCTATTAAAAAAATAATAACAAAATAATGTTAATGTAATTCAGTAACAAAAGAGAAACTAAACCACAGATATGTTAATATTTTCAGGACTATTTCCACAAAATGAAAGTTTCTTTTTTGCTGGGATCCTTTATGGCCAGTCAATATCGGTACAACCCAAAAGAGTTGCCTACTTATCTGAAAATCCTGAAACATAAAATGTGTGCAACTGCCTCTATTCACTGCCAAGATACTAGTAATGAGACGCAAATTTAAGCCACATAACTTTACCAGACAAACCCTGTATCTACTTGTTTTTAACTCCACACTATCCCCTATCCTTTATGAAACTCTGCACCTTTTCTGATTATAACTATAGCAGCTTATTTATTTATTCCACATGCTTAGTTTGTGCCTTTTGTATTGTTTTTAAACATGCTTGGGGACTAATGGAATCAGGCAAGAGGTTAGAGGGTGATGAGCACTGTTATGCTCTATTCCTGACAGTTTAAATGTCTTATGGTTCCCCTGTTTATCTTGTAGCTTCCATTTTTAATGGAAGTAAGATCATCTTTAGTTAGAAAATGTAAACTAGTAATCCAAACAATAAATTCAAGCTATTGGTTTAAGTCTCTATTGCTTATAAATGCATATATAATTACTATTAACCACTTAATACTAGACATTTTCAATCATGCATTAAAATATTAGTACTCTAAAATCAGAGTTATGGGTCTGCCACTATTGCTTGCACTTTCATCCAGACTCAGTTTTAATAAACATGCAGAGTAAACCCCTTGATTTATAAGAATTAGAATAACAAAGATACATGCAAAATTTCAACCAAAAATGGATATTAATAAAGTGATTGCTTAGAAATGCAGGCAGATGCTCCACATCTATCACAATGCTACTTCAGAATCCAGGTACAAGAGTCACGCACAAAAGTTAAAATTAAGACTACTATTCAGTTATAAAGGCTTAATTGCAAATCCTGGTCCTACTGGGTAGAAAATGATGCAAAGCTTCTGGGAAAAGAAAGAGAATTGAGAGATGTACAGTCTTCTGGAGTTTTCTTGGCCATTTACTGACTGCTATAGAATAGAGGAGCATGGTGGTTTAGGGATGGTGAAGATGCTCTTAGAATAGTTTCTTTTTTTTTCTGATTCACATTAAGAGCATAGCCTGCACAGCTCCCAGGGGAAAAGGAGTTTAAAAATAGCAGAGCTAATATAATGTAAACTCAAAATCAATGCCCTGAAATTTAGCATAGCCCTCTGCTTCTAAAAACTGTTGATCAAGGGATCCTTCCAAATATGGTATGACTAAATAGCCAAGCAATGTTCTGAATAAACTAGAAATAATTTGCTCGCACCAGCAGCACCATGATAATGTAAACTCCTGGAGGCCAAGGGTCTCTTCATATTTTGCATATCACAGATACACTAAAGTAAACATGAGACCACAACACTGAAAACTAATTAACTGCATACTTTGAAACTACAAAAATTTGTAGCATATTTTAGCATTTGGAACTATTAACTTGGCTGTTAAGGGTAATCTTTAATTGTTCTAAGTAACTAAATTGTTGACATCACAGTAATACACCTGGTGTCTCATGATCATGCAGATGTCTGAATATTGCTTGGTTATTCCAATGTCTTTAACACCAACTGATGGTTTAGGACATTTAAAAAGAAGCTATAATCAATTTAATATAGCCTCCCTATCCTTTGGAGTTGCCATGTAAGAATTAAATATTCAAGAGGCACTGTATTTGTTGATCTTCTCCACTTATATTTTAGTTGTTTTTCCCCTTGGAAAACAAGGGAACATAGACCACATGTTTCCAGGGATCTTCAAAGTGCTAAATGGCCAAGATGACATGAGGTAAAAGGGAGTAAGAAGTCACCTTCATTCTACTCTTATATCCTGATGTGAGCTGCATGATTCCTCATCAAGAAACTAGTTTGCTGGGTTCTTGTTAAAGTAAGTAGTCACAGGCTATTGGCCTAGCACATCTACTTTAGACAAGGTTTTAAAAAAAACAAACCCAACATACTGTCTCTGGCTATTTCCTTTAATCCTTTTGTTTTATACCTTTAAATCTTAACTCCCTAAACCAGTGATGGCGAACCTTTTGAGCTCGACGTGTCAGCATTTTGAAAAACCCTAACTTAACTCTGGTGCCGTGTCACATATAGAAATTTTTTGATATTTGCAAACATAGTAAAACAAATATTTATATTTTTGATATTTACTTTATATATTTAAATGCCATTTAACAAAGAAAAATCAACCAAAAAAAATGAGTTCACGTGTCACCTCTGACACACGTGTCATAGGTTCGCCATCACAGCCCTAAACTAACCATAGGCATGAGGTTACCAGCTATCCAAGTTCTTGTTAACCCTAAATACATATACACAACAAACTTTTCCTTTGTAAAAATGCACCCAGGAAACTAATGGAGAAAGATAAGGTGACAAAGCAAAAAGTATGCTATTAGTATGATGCTAAAAAAACATCATAAGCAAGATCCCCACATGATGGCTTCAGTGGGGTTTCTTCATCAATAAGAGAAGAAACATTTGTTTCCAGGTTAAGCAGTAGAAATAGTTCATTCAATGGCTCTAACCCTCTGTTCTAGAAAGCAAATAGGATCTTTAACCTTTAATTTACATAAAAGTTGCTATTTCTCACTGACATATTCATATACACTCATAGTTTCTTAAAGTACCTTTTATATGCTCTTTACCTAGCATCTTTTTCCTTTTGTACAACTCTTGACCATAGAGCCTCACAAACTCTAGTAATACTCTACTGTACAACCTTGCTAATCCAGCTTACTATACATGCTAAAATTGTTATTGCTAAAATTCTACCTCTTGAAATTATTAGTTCGTTTTATGGCTTTTTTTTTTCAATAGGAAATATCCTTTCCTATATACTGTGCTATTTTGTATTCATTACCTTTTCAGAGGTATTAAAAAAGTATTTAAATACTTTTCAGAAATGGATTCTCGCAGGCACTAAACTACTTGAGCCAAGAGTACAACTACTTAAAGTACACTATGAGCATCTAAATCTGGGTCCTGGAGATCTGCTGCAGAAGAGTCTACCTGTCTAAGCTTGCTTCTACATCAGACACACATTAAACTAGTTTTGCATTTTCTATCATGCTAACTATAGAACCTGTGAGTAAATCCTGGACTCCCCTAAGAGATTTAAAAACCACCTCAGAAAACTGCCATTTACAAGTTCTCGAGGCAGCTTTTAGAGGTAGGAATTTCTTTTCTACATGATGCTATCTTATGCTTTCAGAATAAAAATAACTTTTATATCTACAAGGAAAGTAGAAAAGTGAAAGCTGTCTGAGGAGGCTTACTATAACCAAGCAAAGTTAGTAATTACATGGCAACTTAGGTAGGCTCTACTGGCTACATTTCCAATTCCATGAAAAGGTCTAGAATCCCAACAATACACAACTCAGCAAATTTGGAAATAGGAAAAGCCCCTGACAAATTAATCTAGGACACTCTAAACTACTGGCACATGGCATGCTGCAGACAGGAGTGTAAGTAGACTGCAGATTAGAAAAGCACTCAAGCAATGAACATAGCATCTCAGTAAGACGTGCAAAATAATTTCCTGATGCAAAAGGAGTGGGAAAATTAAACCTAAAAGACATAAAATGTGAAAAAGGCATAAGAACAATCTCACCTAAAACTGAGCAAAGCAGAATCATGAAATGGGGCCACATTTTGATTTGAGGTTTCATAAGACACAGACAGCTGGTTTCCAGCTACCTCATGAAAAGCTTAAATATCCTCAAACACAGTATTTCACATTGTGACCCCACATTACTATTCATAAATGAGTCTTTTTGGCCTAATCTCCTCTCCCCAGGGAGAATATCATGGATACAGAAACTTATGAAAGAAAAGTTCTAAATGTTCCACTTTTTACACTATTGGTTATTATAATAATTCATCCTGAAGTTTAAATTGTTACTAGGCTCATGCACTAACCCCTAACATGGCACTACAATATGCTACCAAGCACTAATGCTTACAAAACTATACACATCTCAAAATGGAAGACATTGGTGATTTTGTTGTTCTGAAACAACTTGTAACATTTGTCCACAAGTATTAAAATATACATATATATATATATATTTCTATTGCACATATCCCGTTTTAAACTTAAAAAAACAAAACAAAAACACAAAAAACAATTGCCAGCTAACATGGATGCACAAAGGAAAGGAAGCAGGCACAGCTATCGATTGAGTCCTGCCGAAAATGATAACTTTTGCCATCAAGAAGGGGACCAAACCAGGAAAAAACCAATGTAGATGTATTAAATAAACACTGGGCAAATACAACTGGAAAATACGCGTTTTGTTAAATGCCATCTGCTGACAAGATGCGCAACAACTTGAAAGAACATTAAACAGTAGTTTCCTTAGCTATGAAATGAAAAAAAACATAAAGCAACTAAGGAAGTTGAGTCTGATACATATTTCAAACAAGTGAGCCAGAGATGTTTTCACTGGTTCTGATTGTACAGGGTTCCTTATTTCTAGCCAAGTAGTTCTACCTAAAAAGTTGCCAAAAGGACACCAGGAAGATGGGTAATAGACAACTGAAGATACAAATTCTCCATTTGATATTCTCAATATACCAACAGGACCCAAATGGAATATGTAAATTCCATTCTGCCATTAATAACTCCAAAATATTAGGAATCAGGAAGTGGCTGGGAAGTTACGTAGAGAAAAATTTAAACTACCTTTATCCAGTTACTTCTATGCTTTACCACTCAGTAATTGCCCTCAATTAAGGAAAATCACATTTTATCTATATAATTTTTACTCAAAAGTTTTCTTATGCCAATTCAGATTGGTTGACCAATTAAACTAATTATCAAGGGTGCTCAACATTTCTATTCGGGGCCAGTCCTATCACTCTCAAATTTGGTAAATCTACCTGTTTTCAGCGTTAACAGCATGTATGGCCCTGGGCAAGCAGTCCCTAAATAACAGACATGACCTAAGATGATTTGTTCCTAAGAGGCTTTAAATTCTTTCTCAAATAACGAAGACCCATAATGGTCTCATTCTTCTCATGTAAAGACCTGACAATTCATACACTGGTCCTCTGCTGATCTTGAAGCAAGAACAGCTTTATACTATAGTCTATTCACCATATAGTGTGAGTTTTAAGGGAAAGGAAGATCCTTATTTCTTATTGGAACTATTTTTTTTTGAGGTTTTCTTTAGACCTGAATTTCTTCTAAATTTATACCGATCCAAACACATGTTTGGGAACATTGCTTCTGAGGCCCATTCTCTGATGAAAATGGGGAGTTACCTGAGTCCCAGCCTTTTCTGCCTAACATTACAGCTATCATCTAGAAAAAGCAATCAAACATACAAGTATTGATCTTGGGTCAAAGGAAAGTTATTTATACTTTTACAAAAAAATAGAGCTATGAATGTAAAATGCCATAAAGCCAGGTGGATGTATAAGGCTTTTTTTGCTTCATTTTCTTAGGAGAAGGGAGTTATATGAAAATTTTCTCATCCCCCCCACCCCCATTCCCCCATGTCCAAAGTTGAAGGCAGGTCATACTGGAGGGTCCATCACATCTTCTGAACAGAAAATCTACTTATGTCACCTTTCTTCCAGCCTTAGCAATAGGGAAAAAGTCCCAATGCTATATAAAACTCCACAAAAGAGAATGAAGTAATTTGTAATACAGCAGCCTCTCATCCCAAGGAGGTGAAAAGAGTTCCAACACTGGACTCAAAGCTTTTGTTTCCTTTATCAACCTTCACTAAACCCAAGCATGCATTCATTGGGTTAGCACAATATGGTCCTTCCTTAGAAGAAAAAAAGAAAAAGTTTTATAATACCAAATGTCCAAAGACTTCCAAGAATAGGTTCCTTCTCTGGGAAGAAAATCCCTCTTCTCATTAAAAAAAAAAAGTGGATTTACATGTTAAAATATATATATTTATACAGAAACTGTGATGGCTTATTCATATATGAAATTAACTTTGTGATATTCTGTTTTTGTGCTTCTTTATCACATCAAAGGTTTCACTGGAAAGCTGGACCTTTGTTCTTATCCAGTTCATCTATGTCACAGGTTGAGCCAGGATTTATATATATATATTATCATCTCTTTCATTTCAAATTACAACACATCTGAAATTTACTGCTGCAGTCTCGACTGTGTTTGTGATAGTGGCTAAAATGGGAAGACATTAAAAAAAACTGAACAAATCCTGATGTCACACCCACACTTAGCTATTTATATAGTCTTCTTGCTGGGAATAAAAGGTAAAGAATTCACAAATATCACCATCTAAGCACCAGTTTCAAATTAAACATCACCCTTCAGCTTGCAAAATAATTTCTTTACAAGTAAGCAATTGGCAGAAGAAACATATCAGTTGCTTCTTTCTTCTTGGAGAAGTTGGCATAATGACTGCATCCTAGGAGCTTCTCTGTGTTAAATTTGAGAGGTGGGAAGAAAAAGAAAAGCAATCTTTTGCAATCCAAAACATGGAGGTAAAATGTAGAGGAGGGATATCCGCATTTCAAGAAACGGAAGTGAGTAGACAGAAGAAGCAGGACTCCCCACTCCAGAAGACAACGCAGAAATACCTGGAAATACAAAATAAAAACAGAAAGATTAAAAGAGGTACTTCTGTATAAGCTTCCTCTTAAAAATAGTATTTAACAGAGAAAAAAAATATTTTGAATTATACACTGTCTAAAAGAAAATGTGCAACCTTAACACCCAATTCAGTATCATCACCAGAAAAGCAGAAGCAGTAGCCAGAAAAAAATATGTAAGTATGATACAAAAAAGATTTATACAAAAGCTTATATAAAATGAGATATACACATTAATTTCCTCTTATGGAAATAAAGTAATATACTCCAAGTTTTTAGTCAAAATGATTTTATGGCTGTAAATATTTGTGTTTTAAAGCAGTATTGTACTCCAAATTTGATGTCTAAATACTCAATTCTCAAAATCATATGAATCATCTTATTTTGAATTATCTTGAACTATATAAGACCAACTTGAACAATAAAATTTTATAAAATAGAGGGGAGAACCAAGATGGTGGCATAGGTAAACACCGGAGTTTGCTGCCTCGAACAACCACTTCAAAAATATAACTAAAAGACGGAAGGGACATCACCCAGAACCACAGGAAAGCTGGCTGAGGGGAAATTCTTCAACTAGAAGGAAAGAGAACAGCATTCAGAGGAGGCGCAGCGTGGAAAATACAAAGGTGCGGAGGTTCGCGCGGCGGGCTGGTGGCTGAGGGTGCGGTTGTCTTTTTCAATCGGGAGGGAGGCTCAGGCCCTGAGCTCCAGTTCTGGGCGAGTTTCTAGGGACCACGACTCAAACGGGAGAAGCGGGACTGTCTGGCATCGGTCGGAACGCGAGGGCAGCTTTCTCTCCGAGGTTTGCAGCGGTTGCTGGGACTCTGAGAGGCAGAGCCCCCGGGATGGGACTGAGAGCAGCCATAACTCCTCGCTCAGCCCGCCCTGTTGATCCCCTGGGACACCACCTGCCCAAGCCCTGCACAGAGCCATTTGCCGGATAGCCTCAGGCAAAGGCTAGATTAGCACCTCCCTAGAGGACAGAAGTTCTCTCACTGCAGACACAGCTG